CAGGAAAAGCTTGCCATGTCTCAGTACTGCAGAGACCAGGTGTCAATTTTGGTTCCCCTTTGCTGTGCGTGTCAAGAAAATTAGACCTTCAGCCAATTTCTTCTTCTTTCATTAACCATAGGTAGGCTTTATATTAAACTTTAGGCCTGTAAGTGGGTTGAATTGACCAAAGGGAAAATAACTGGATGTTGATATGGAAGAATTGGCCATCAACCTTGTGACCTTTGAATAGCAATCTCTCCTTATATATAATTGTGAAGTGGGGTGGAACTTTCTGAACATTCCACATGCTCCTAAATCAGTTGGCTCCATGATGTGTCACTCAGAAGCTGTCCCTATCCACTGGCTGCGTTGCTTGAGTACCACCTCCAACATTCTAAGCAGTTTGCTGTTCCTCTCCCCCCCATATCCAGCTGTTAAAGACTCAGGAGTCAAACTGTCTACTGAATCTGGATCCCCTACTATTCCAATTTGTGACATTATGCCCTATATTTTATACATTGTTGAGGTTATTTCATTAAGTACAGTAATTATGAACGCTTCCAGTACTGCTGCCAACTCAAATTAATGCAGTGACTATTAGGTTCTTAGTCTGCTCTCAGCCGTCGAAGGGATCTGTGTCTATGTGTGTCAGATCAGGTGTTCAAGAGACATTATTAAGCAGAATACCTCTGGGTTTTTTTCCCTTCTGCTTAGTGTGCAAGAGGCCAAGGATGCAACCTGATACCAACACCATTTAAAATCCACACGCCCACTCCTCATTTCACACAGGAGGCTTATAAGACAAGGCCTCAGGATAACGGTCTGAGACTTTTTCTCCTCCTCGTCCATTTAGTTTTAAAATCTATCCCGATGAAGAGTTCTAGAGAACCTGAAGCTTGCACACTGTTTTGTGTGGGTTTGTCCTAATAAAGAGAGTAAAGGTAAAGGTTCCCTTGCTCGAAAGCCAGTCGAGTCCGACTCTAGGGTTGCGGTGCTCATCTCCGTTTCAAAGCCGAAGAGCCAGTGCTGTCCGAAGACATTTCCGTGGTCATGTGGCCGGCATGACTAAACACCAAGGCGCACGGAACGCTGTTACCTTCCCACCGAAGCGGTACCTATTTATCTACTTGCAATTTCTTGCTTTCGAACTGCTAGGTTGGCAGGAGCTGGAACTAGAGACGGGAGCTCACTCCATCATGCGGCACACTCGGGTCTCAAACTAATGAACTACGGACCTTCCACAGCCTGCAGTTCAGCGTCTTAACCACTTGAGCCACCGCAGCTCCTAATAAAGAGAGCAGCCAACTTCAACTGGAAATCTGGGAAGGGCAGCGTGTGGAGAAAGGAGGGAATGTAGCAGGGCACTGGGTCCAGAATTAAACTTTGTTGGTCTTAAAGGTGCCACGGGACTCAAACTGCGCTCTAACATTGATTTCAACATGAGCTTTCATGAGTAACTGCTCACTTCTGACTTCATAGTTTTTCACAGGAAAGAGGATTTTAATGTGGGGAAGTGTTTGAGCATGGCTCCTCCCATCTGCAGTCTGAAGTGGTGCGTAGGGATCCCAAGTCCCCCCCGGGGGGCGGGGAAACCCCCACCCCAGAGGGCCGTTCCCCAGCCCGGATCAGGCCCCGGGGGGAACTCCACCCCGATGTGCGCATCACCCAGAAGTGACGCGGGCACACTGGGGGCGGGGCCACGGCCATATAAGGAAAAACTCTATGGTTTTCCCTTGTATGGCCGTGGCCTCGCCCCCAGCGTGCCTGGCGTCCTCCCATCACTTTCGGGTGACGTGCGTGCAGTGCACGTGCACAAGATGCCGGCCAGGAGCCCCCCACTCCAGGCGAAGATACACTTGGCAACCCTAGTGGTGCGGGTTTGGAAATGCTAAACAACACACCATTTCTGCATGTGTAGCTTGAACCTGAGGTACAACACATTGCTTTCAGGAAAGTGCTGACCTGAACCCATCCCAGGTCTTCTTTTTCACGTCTCATAGCAAACGTAGTATTTAGACATGCATTAATATGACTCAGGATGGGGAAAGTCAGAATTATACATGTCCAAAGAAACCAATAAAGTGCTAGGGTGCGTGGTATAAAGAAGATAAAATTACTTCTTAATTATGTTCTTCTGCTTGAAGATCTTGTAAACTTCAGCTGATGTCTGAGGTCCTTGAAGCTTCTGTCCATTCAGCATCTCTTTTTCTAGTTCCTCAATTGTCTTGAATAAACCAAAAAAAGGGACAAATAATTTTAGGGTTAAAGGAAATGATGCAACTACAAGCTAGAAAGAAAAGTATTTGAAAGGGCTGAAGTCCGTGATTAAACTGCAAGTCAGTGAATAAACGAGAAGATTTATGCTCACCCACGGAGACTTATGGATCCAATAGGATTCCGGAATGCTCTGTGGGATCCAGTGCCCTCTGGTGACTCATTAGATGTGCTGACAGAGGACTGGAATTCCCATCTCTCTGAAGCCATCGATGAGTTCGCCCCCCAACGCCCTCTCCGCTCCTGTGTTAAATTTCCCCCCTAGTATGCAGTGGAACTCAGGGGGGTGACATGGGAACTGAGACAGCTAGAGTGAGTATGGCAGCAAACTCGCGATGAAGAGGCAAGAACATCTTAAGAACATAAACATAAGAACATAAGAGAAGCCATTGTTGGATCAGGCCAACGGCCCATCCAGTCCAACACTCTTGTCACACAGTGGCCAAAAATACCAGGTGCCATCAGAAGGTCCAGCAGTGGGGCCAGGACACCAGAAGCCCTCACACTATTGACCCCCCCCCCCAAGCACCAAAAATACAGAGCATCACTTGCCCAGGAGTCCCTATCTATACCTTGTGGCTAATAGCCACCGATGGACTCACCAGTTTTGGTAACCACTTTGAGTCGGTTGGGAAAACATCTTTAATAAACAAAGACCAAGAGGTGATGTCCATTTCTAAAGGTCGCATTATCCATGTCACACTATGTTTCACTAATGCCAAATTAGACATGAATTCTCCATGTAGTCATAAATAAATGCAAAGGACTTTTGCAGAGACATCATAAATGCAAAATTCTCCAGTTACAGGATTAATAACCTTTGCAAGGATTACAGCCTAATGCTGGAAACATTTACTCAATAGTAACATTTACTCAAGGAGCTGCGGTGGCTCCAGTTGTTAAGACGCTGAACTGCAGGCTGTGGAAGGTCGGTAGTTCAGCAGTTCGAGACCCAAGTTGCCGCATGATGGAGTGAGCTCCCGTCTCTGGTCCCAGCTCCTGCCAACCTAGCAGTTTGAAAGCAAGAAATTGCAAGTAGATAAATAGGTACCACTTCAGTGGGAAGGTAACAGTGTTCCGTGCGCCTTGGCGTCTAGACATGCCGACCACATGACCATGGAAATGTCTTCGGACAGCGCTGGCTCTTCGGCTTGGAAACAGAGATGAGCACCGCATCCCTAGAGTCGGATTCAACTGGCTTTCGAGCAAGGGAAACCTTTACCTTTACCTAGGTTCCATGGAGTGCAATTAAACTCACTCCCATATAACAGTGCATAAGATAGCAGCCTCAAACTCTTGAAGAAGAAAGTCTTACTTTTCCACCGCGTGCGAAGGCTTCTGCCACTTTCCTGTTGCGTCCACCGTAGCATGTGGTGATCAGATCAGCAATGCCACAACTTTCCAGAAACGTGTTTATTGATACGGAGCCTTTGCAGAAGATTTTTGCAAAAGCAATCATTTCCATGAGGCCCAGACGAATCACAGCCGCTTTCGTGTTATCACCGCAGCCCAGTCCATCACAAAACCCAGCTCCTACTGCCACAATGTTCTGAATACAGCAGGGAAGAGAGAGAGAGAGAGAGAGAGAGAGAGAGAGAGGAGAGAGAGAGTTAGAGAGAGAGAGAGAGAGAGAGAGAGAGAGAGAGAGAGAGAAGAGAGAGGGAGAGAGAGAGAGAGAGAGAGAGAGAGAGAGAAGAAAAGTAATGAAAACAAGACAGCCTGTTAAGGTATTAGCTAGCCTGTGCTGCCCCTTTCTGAAATACACCAATCCCCCTTAGTCCTGTTTGGTGTGAGATCAGAGCAGCTAACAGAGATCAGTTCCTCTGGTAGGGTTGCCAAGTCCATCTTCCACCCCCAGCAGGGGACTTTGGGGGCGTTCCTGGAGGGGGCGAGGCATCCCCCGACGTGATGACATCACGTTGGGAACGTCCACCACCCGCCCACACGCCGGATCTCCAGAAACAGCAGTTTCTTGCACTTAAAGGAGCCGGTGTTTCCCTTTTAAGTGCAGGAGCCGGCGTTTCCCCTTTAAGAGCAGCCGCGTTTCCCTTTTAAGTGCACAAAGCTGGCATTTCCCTGCAAGCCTGATCTCAAGTGGAGATCGGGCTTGGGAGGAAACATGGGTTCCACACACTTAAAGGGAGAGAGAGGGGTGGCTGTGGGTGTTGGGGGCCATCTGGCCGGTGGCGGGTAGAACCCCCCCCAAAAATGGGGGACCCCTGGCAAACCGGGGGGGTTGGCAACCCTATCCTCTGGAGAAAATGGCTGCCTGGGTGTATGTGAAGTCTATGGCATTAAACCCTGTCGGGCTCCTTCCCCTCTCCAAACCCAGCCTTCCTCAAGCTCCACCCCCAAAATCTCCTGGAACTTCCCAACTTGAAATTGGCATCGGGCTGCCAGATCCCCCCTGGCCAACAGCAGGGGGTGGGGGGATAGGGTTGTTAGCTTCCGGTTGGGAAAGTCCTGGAAATTTGGGGGTGGAGCCTGGGGAGGACAGGGACCTCAGTGGGGTACAAGGCCACAGAGTCTGCCCTCCAAAACACCAATTTCTCCAGAGGAACTGATCTTTGTTGTCGGGAGGGGAGCTGTAGTTCCAGGGGATCTCCAGGTCCCACCTGGAGGCTGGCATCCCTAAATTGGCAGCCCTAGTGGGTAGAGATCACCAGGGCTTTTTTTGTAGAAAAAGCCCAGCAGGAACTTATTAGCATAATAGGCCATACCCAACAGCAGGAACTCATTAGCATATTAGGCCACACCCCTGACAGCACAGTTCATTCGCATATTAGGCCACACCCCCATGTTACCAGAAGTGTGGTCATCCAGCCACACCCACCTTTTGCTTCTTATTCTCTTTACCTTGTTTGTTGTCAAAACCCAGGGCTTTATGCATGTTAAGCCACACACCCCTAATTGTAGCCAATTTGAATGAGTTTCTGCTGTTCGGTGTGGCCTATTATGCCAATGAGTTCCTGTTGGGCGTGGCCAACTTGGGAGCCAGCCGGAACTCCGTTCCTGCCCAAAAATAGCCCTGGAGATCACACTGGTTGAGCTTCACGTCATGTTAGCTCTGTATAAAAATCATTTTAAAGACCCTGATCTTCAAAACACCCTATTAAGGTCTTAGGTAGCCTCAGGGCTATTTTTGGGCAGGAACGCACAGGAACGGAGTTCCGGCTGGCTCCCAAGTTGGCCACGCCCAGTAGGAACTCATTAGCATAATAGGCCACACCCAACAGCAGAAACTCATTAGCATTGGCTACATTAGGGGTGTGTGGCCTAACATGCAAAGGAGTTCCTGCTACAAAAAAAGCCCTGGGTTTTGACAACAAACAAGATAAACAGAATAACAAGCAAAAGGTGGGTGTGGCTGGATAACCACACTTCTGGTAACATGGGGGTGCAGCCTAATGTGCTAATGAGCTGTGCTGTCAGGGGTGTGGCCCAATATGCTAATGATTGCTGTTGTTGGGTGTGGCCTATTATGCTAATGAGTTCCTGCTGGGCTTTTTCTACAAAAAGAGCCCTGGGTAGCCTGTGCTGGTTGTAAGCACTTAAGGCAATCAGATTACGGGGATCACCACCAATAAGACCACTTTAACACAGCATAGAGAGTTATTTACAGCTATATCCCATCAGCTGTATTTCTTCCCATAATTGCTCCTGGATGCCCACAGACAGACAAATCCATACAAACGTGTGATCTGTAAAAAAAACATTGGTATATAAGGGCACATAGCAAGTGATGTTGGTAACTGCAGCTATTTCCAGAGGTGCACAGAACCCAATGCTGTGAAGAAATCAATCAAGTGGTCAGAAAAGAATCTTTGTACAAATCTAACCGACTGCTACAGTCATTTTCTGAGGCCCTGCTTCAACTGCCCGGCCTTCTGAGATTAGGCAAGTGGCAATCTGGGAGAAGGCCTTCTTGGTTGTGGCACCGAAACTCTCTCCTCAGAGAGACTCCCCTGTTTCTGTTTTCTGCCGGCAGGAGAAGAGTGTTTTATTTCATCTGGTGTTCCCTTAGTGATCCCGCCTTCCTGCCCTGTGTTATAATTGTGGGTTTTATATTTTTGTCTGTGTATTTTAGCTTAATTTTTATGATGTGTCCTTGTTTGGTCTTAATGGTTTTTAAGAAGTGTTTCTTATTATGTATGTTTTTAATCTAAGCTGCCTTGGTAGCCCTTATGAGGAAAGAAAGATGGGTTATAAATATTGTAAATAATAATAATAATACTTAAATAAATAAGTAGCCTATTTTGGATACAAATTATAAGTGTCTTCAGGGCTTTTTTGGTAGAAAAGGCCCAGCAGGAACTCATTAGCATAATAGGCCACATCCAACAGCAGACACTCATTAGCATATTAGGCCACACCCCTGACAGCACAGCTCATTAGCATATTAGGCCACACACCCATGTTACCAGACGTGTGGTCATCTAGCTACACCCACTTTTGCTTCTTATTTTGTTTATCTTGTTTGTTGTCAAAACCCAGGGCTTTTTTGTAGCAGGAACTCCTTTGCATGTTAGGCCACACACCCCTAATGTAGCCAGTCCTAATGAGTGTCTGCTGTTGGGTGTGGCCTATTATGCTAATGTGTTCCTGCTGGGCGTGGCCAACTCGGGAGCCAGCCGGAACTCCGTTCCTATGCGTTCCTGCCCAAAAATAGCCCTGAGTGTCTTCCAATTTAAAAAAATGGAAGAAAAGACTGCACTTTTTCTAAATGGGCACTGAAAGGTTTTGGTGCATGCGGATTTGCCAGTAGGCAAGCAACAACTTTTAGCCAAAGCAACTGTACAAGGTTCCATTTTCCATCCATGTATGTCATGCATCATCATACTCTAGCTCCTGGCCAGATGGTGGACCATACATCCTTCCCCCTGAATGATGTATGATCTGCTCTGACAACTGATACAACTTTCCCAGGCTTCCATGATGACGATTAGATTGCTGGACGGAGTCAGGCTATTGCTCTAAAACCCTTTGTTTCAGCTATAAGGAAGAAAGGGCTGAGTCCCAAGAGGGAATTAAAGTTATCAAGGCTTGAGGATGTTCCAGGAGCAGTTACCTAGTCTAGTGAATTACGACAAAAGGCAGACAGAACATCTGCTTGAAAGATACCTCCTTTTTTATTATGAAGTACTCCACACTTGGAGCTGCGGTGGCTCAAGTGGTTAAGACGCTGAACTGCAGGCTGTGGAAGGTCGGTAGTTCAGCAGTTCGAGACCCGAGTTGCCGCATGACGGAGTGAGCTCCCGTCTCTAGTTCCAGCTCCTGCCAACCTAGCAGTTCGAAAGCAAGAAATTGCAAGTAGATAAATAGGTACCACTTCGGTGGGAAGGTAATAGTGTTCCGTGCACCTTGGTGTTTAGTCATGCCGGCCACATGACCACGGAAACGTCTTCGGACAGCGCTGGCTCTTCAGCTTTGAAACAGAGATGAGCACCGCAACCCTAGAGTCGGACTCGACTGGCTTTCGAGCAAGGGAACCTTTACCTTTACTTACTCCAGACTTAATACTTGGTTTTTATCACATGTAATGAAAGTTTATATGAGTCTGTTGTTTCCAAATGTTGTCAGATTACAAAGTCAGTCAAAACACCATAAACATTCTTTGTAATGTTTTAGTAGCTAAACCAGCTACGATCATCTACAGAACTACAGATGGCCGAACATTGTTTGGGATTACTAACTTTTAAGGCTCCACAGATCTCCACGGTGTCACAGTCATCCACCACAGTAACTCTGAAATTTGGGGTCTGCATTAATTCTTTAAAGATCTTCCCATTATCTGTGTTTTTGCAACCTTGGGAAAGAAGTGCAGTAGATTAGGATGCGTTGACCCAATGAAGTTATTTTGTTTGGTTGGAGACAAAATATAACTACACCTATGTGGTTAGAAGCATGCAAGTATCTTGTAGAATGGTTGACTTAGATAGCTATTCCCCAGGGAAAGTGTGCATTCAACAAAATTCCCAAACAATATTACAATGCATTTCCAAGCAGAGTTACACCCTTCTAAACCCACTGACTTCAATGAACGTAGAAGGGTGTAACTCTGCAAGCCTTTCTGTAACTTAGATGGCATGTGTCCTACCACTACATTGAGCAAAGTTTGAAGCCTACCCTCCTAACCTCAAGGAGCCTTCCTCCCACTTAAATGGCTCCTCCTCCAATCAACGAGCGATTTCAGTTGGAGGAAGGCAAGATAGGACACACATGCCAAAATCTGTAACCCATCCTCTGTGACATGCATATGAATCTTGCAACATACATACATCAGAAATAAGACTGGAAATAGTTTTTAGAGAAGTGAGACATTAAATGTATAGTGATGGTGAAGATGTAATGTTCAATCTATCTGTATGGCTGGGCAACCTGAAAGTAAGCAATGTTAATCTGTACCCATTCCAGAAACTTATATAGTGACATAAGTCAAGCTGCATAGTATGCATTCTAAGGATACCTACAAAAGATTGGCCCAATACAGCTAGGCTGTTGAGCATGGTTCCTCAACCCTGACCTACCAGCTGGAGCAAAATAGGAGCAGATGATGGATTTAACAGGGGAGTTTCTCAGAAATGGAACAGAAGAATAGTAGCTGCTTAATCCATTCCCCTTCAGCTGTCATTTTTCCAAACAAAATTCTCCTGTCCAAGCTATTTTTCTCTCCAGTGATAAAAACATTTTCATTTTCTTTTTTCTCTGCCTCTCTCATGGAAGACTCAAGGTGGATTACAAAAATTATAAGCCAGCAATAAATGCAATAAAGACAAATTACAAACTTGCAACAAACATTAAAAGCTAGTACAATATACCTTTCATAGAAATGCCCTCCTGAAAAGTTCCATTTCATACACTGTATGGGGCCTGGAGATCTCCCAGAATTACAAGTAGTCTTCAGACTACAGAGATCAACTAACTCCTCTGGAGAAAATGGCTGCTTTGGAGGGTAGACTGTATGGTATTATGCCAGACTGAGGTCCTCACCTCTCCCAGGCTCCACCCCCTCAAATCCTTGGGTTGGCAACGCTAAGTAGAGACGTATATTTCAGTGCCATGAACACCTCCCAGGCCTTGGGGGGTGGGGAATGTTCTGTCTTTTTAACAGAAGTTTAATATGTGGGATCAATCCTAAAAGAAATCAACCCTGACTGTTCCCTGGAAGGCCAGATAATGAAACTGAAGCTCAAATACTTTGGCCACCAAATGAGAAGGGAGCACTCACTGGAGAAGACCCTGATGCTGGGAAAGATTGAAGGTCAAAGAAGACGGGGACGGCAAAGGATGAGATGGTTGGACAGTGTCATTGAT